CCAGGGCTATGTGTATGCTCAGGAAAGACCTAAGAAAGCCCTCAGTGACCTAGTTAATCTCAATTATTAGTGGCAGTCTAGCTGACCTTGAGGCTTTGAACAAGCAAGAAGGAAAGCTAAGGTAGAGTTGTGAACTGCCTGTGTGAATGTTGACAGCTTGCCCCAACATGTCCACAAAACCCCTCTGCAAAGACTGGGAGATTTTCTTAGTTCCAGATGTTTAAGGAAATCTCTATCAGATTGTTGGGTAATCACTAAACTGACAAAAGATGGACTTCAGTGACCAAACATGAAAAGGAATGTAGACTTTACAGAATTAGATCTGTAAACTTGTTAGACAATAAGAAGCAGCAGCAACTCCTTAGATGAAGGAATATCCAATTTCCAGAGTTGCAACATTACAATATTCAAAATGTCTAGCTTTCAACAGAAAATGATAAGGCAAAGAAACAAGACAGTATGGCCCATACAGAGGGGTGAAACCACCATAATCAACAAAAGCTATCCCTGAGGAATCTCAGAAGTTGGACTTTCTAGATAAAGCTTAAAACAAGTATTTGAACATGATTTTGCATATATATTCATGAAGGATATTTGTCTGTAGTGTTTTTTTTTTAAATGTTATATCTTTGGCATTGATATCAGGATAATATTGGCTGTATAAAATAATTTGGAAGTGTTCCCTTCTCCCCTATTTTCTGGAAGACTTTATGAAGGGCTGATTTAACTTATTAAAATATTTTATTGAATTAACCAGGGAAGTCATCTTAGAATGGACTTTTCTTTGTAGGAAGATTTTAAATTACCAGTTCAATTCATTTAGTTGTTACAGGGTTAGTTATATTTTTAAATTTCTTCTTGAGTCAATTTAGGTAATTTTAGTCTTTCTAGAAAATTTTCTATTTTATCTAAGTTGTTGAATTTGCTGGCATATAGTTTATTTGTAGTATTATCATTTATTACTTTTAAAAATTATTTTATTTAACTTTATTTATTTATTTATTTATTTTAATTTTATCAAAGAGGAAAAGAGAGAGAGGAGAGAGAAAGAGAGAGAAAGAGTGAGAAAGCAATCCACCAGGTCTGGGACTTGAATTGCGGTCAGCCATGTGGGAGTCCAGAGCTATTAACTATCATGCCACCTACTGGACCTTTATTTAATACTTTTCATTTCTATAAGGCCAATAGTGATTATCTCTTTTGTTTTTGAGTTTGGTAATTTATGTCTTCTTTTATTTTTTTGGCCAATCTAGCTAAATATTTGTCAATTTTGTTGATTGTTGCAAAGAACCAGTTTTTGATATTATTAATTTTCTCTATATTTATTTATTTATTTATTTATTATTTCATTTTTTCCCATACATTCAATCACATTATTATTTGTCTTACAAAGTGGATATTTCAACAGGTTATCCTTACTCCCTAGTACAGTTGATAAACCTACAAAATATCTTCAACAGATAAAACCACACCTCTTTGTGTCATTAATGCTTTGCCTCCCTGTCCCTCCCCCAAATGTCCTTCCTCAGACCCTTCTCTTTCACACACACTACATCTGGTATTTACATCTATATACTGTGTTTCTATATCCTTAGTCAATTAGTTTCAGTCATAGACTGCAGACAGTATATATTAAGTGGGGACACACAATGCCTCTCCATAACCTGGCTTGCTTTCTGTTTCAATGATTGCTACTGTGATCTTTGTTATTTCTTCCTTATGTTTTTTTTTCTCTTTTTTTTATATTTATTAAGGTAGAAATAAAGTTATTCACTCGAGATCTCTTTTCTTTTTAATATAAGCATTTAAAGTTATAAATATCCCTATAAACACTGTTTCATAAAGTTTGACATATTGTAGTTTTGTTTCTTTTAATTGAAAATATTTTCTAATTTCTCTTGCAATTTCTGCCCTGATCCATTGATTATTTAGAGATAGGTTGTTTAATTTTCATGTATTTATTTCCCAAATTTTCTTTTGTTGATTTATAATTTATTGCATTGTGGTTGAAGGACATAGTTCATATTATCTTAAACTTTTTAAGTTTACTGAGTTTTATTTTATGGCTTAACATGTGATGTAGCCTCAAGAATATTTCATGTGCACTTGAAACGAATGTATATTCTGCTATTCTGGTGCAAGATGTTATATAGATGTCAGCTAGATCAAGTGGTTGGCCATGTTTGTCTGTTCTTTTATATCTTAGCTGATTTTATGTATAGTTGTTCTATTCATTCTTGAGAATGGAGTAGAAGTCTGCAACTATTATTGTTGAGTTGTCTCTTTAATTATGTCAGTTTCTGCATCATATATATACTTTTCTTTTTTTTTTTTTGGAGAGGTTTTCGCTATAGGGCATGTGTATTCACCAGACAGAGAGAGACAGAGGCAGAAAGCGAGAAATCACCCCCCTAGTAGGGATGGTCACGCTGTAATCCCTTCTCCTCCATTCTCCTCTCGGGATCTTGGGCACGTATGCACATGTGCCCAGCGTGAGTTTAAGCCACCGGGTCCGGGGCTCGAACTGCGGTCAACTACGTGGGAGTCCAGCGACATAGCCATTACGCTAACTGCTGGTCCCATCTGCATCATATATTTTGAAGCTCTGTTGGTAGGCATGTGTACGCTTATAATTGTTATTTCTTCCTTATTAATACCTTGTAATTATAAAATATCCCTCTTCATTTGCATAAGCATTTTTACTTTAAGTCTATTTGTCTGTTACTAATATAGTGACTTTATTTCTCTCAATTATAATTTACACAGTATTTTTAAAATACCTTTACTTTCAACCTATTTATGTCTTTGAATCTAAGTGTGTCTGTTGCATATAGAATATAGCTGAGTCTTGCTTTTTTTAACCTATTTTTATATTTATTTTTACATTTTAAAATTTTGCTTTAGGGACCAGCAATTAGCGTAATGGCTATGTCACTGGACTCCCATGTAGTCGACCATGGTTTGAGTCCTAGACCTGGTGGCTTAAACTCATGCCGGGCGTGTGTGCATGAGTGCCCAAGATCCCGAGAGGAGAAAGGAGGAGAAGGAATTGCAGAGTGGCCATCTCCCCTGGGGGGGAATTTCTTGCTTTCTGTCTCTCTGTCTCTCTCTGTTTTTCTGGCGAGCGCATGTGCCCTATAGCATAAACTTCTCAAAAAATTTGCATTTAATCACTGTAAATCTTTACAGTATACAAAATGGTTTTTCCCAGCATGATTACAGTGTATATTAGTCAAGTCAAAGATATTGTCACATGCATTTTTTTTGGAGGGATTTTTGCTATAGGGCATGTGCACTTGCTGGAGACAGAGAGAGACAGAAAGCAAGAAATCACCCCCCCACAGGGGATGGCCATGTTGCATTCCCTTCTCCTCCATTTTCCTCTCAGGATTTTGGCCACATACACACAAATGCACCTGGCAAGAGTGTTAAGCTGCTGGGTCTGGGACTCAAACTGTAGTCAACTATGTAGGAGTCCAGTGACATAACCATTATGTCATCCGATGGTCCCACCATATACTGTTTTTAAGAATTATTTTAACTTTATTTTAATTTGACTGGAGAGGGACAGAATGAGAGAACGAGAGAGCGAGAGAACGAGAGAGCGAGAGAACGAGAGAGAGAGAGAGAGAAAGGGAAAGGGAGAAAGCAAGCCATCAGGTCCATGACTCAAACCATAATTGGCCATGTGCGAGTCCAGTGTCCTTAACCACCACGCCACCTGCTGAGCTCAAGCATATACATTTTTTTAAAAAGAATTATTTATTATTATTATTTTTAAATTTGCTATAGGGCACATGTGGTCATCAGAGAGATACATAGAGGAAAATGAGAAAGCAAGCCACCAGGTCCAGGACATGAAGCACAGTTGTCCACGTGGAAGTTCAGTGCCTTAACCACCACACCACCTGCTGGCCCTAGTATTTATTAATTTTTTTAAAGAGTAAAGTTAAACTTTACAGTAATTTTTTTCTATATACAAGAAATTACAGTACATGTTTATGGGGACTCCTAGCACAGGGCTCCCCTCTTTTTCACTAAGAGTTTTACTTATAGCTGACAATTGATGGGGAAGGGATGCAAAAAACAGTGATGGACCTAGGCTGACTCCACCTCACACCTTCCTTAAAAAATACAAAGATAGATCTCTATTGTAAGCTTGCTTCTTTGCTAAGACCTAGAATCGGCCCCAGTATTACCATATACGTTATCTTGTTTTATATCCAGTCTGACAATGTTTGTATTTTGATTTGAGTGTTTAATCTTTTACTTTTTAAAATTAAAATTGTTACTGAGATAATCATAGATTCGTATGCAGTTGTAAGAAATATCAGAGTGGTCCCTGGTACATTTTGGCTAGTTTTTACCAATAGAAGCATTTCACTGAACTACAGTATAATATTACAACCTGGATATTAACATTGATACAATCCATAGAATTTGTTTGGATTTCTCTAGTTTCATTTGTAATCATTTGTGTGTGTTTGGGTATGGGGGGGATTATTAAGTTCTATACATTTTTAAAAAGTTTCTTTCTTTCTTCCATGAATGAGACAGTCAGTCTTCTTGACACATGATCCATCCTCTGCTTCAGCCAACTTTGGATCATGGGCACATATGAGCCCACGTACTCAGGGAAGTCTCTGGGTGCAAACCTGGAAACTTTCCATATCGGTCAGCCTTGCAGAGCATTGTATTTTACCTCTGTACCGCTATCTGGCTTCAAAGTCTGTATAATTTTATCAGCTGTGTAAGTTAATGTATCTACCACTGTAGTCAAGATACTGCACAGTTCCTACACCACAGGTATCCCTCACGTTTTTCTTTTATAACCCCATACCTCCCTGTTTTCTTTAATACCCCCATCCCTCCCTGCCACTTCCAACCCCTGTCCTATTGCTAATCCCTGGCAACCACTCATCTAATCTCTATTTCTAAAATTTTGTTATTTCAAAAATGTAATTAAAATGTAACCCTTAGGGTTTGGAATTTTTCACTTGAAAAATACGGAACATTTCATTAATTTGTGTATCATTTTTGCACAGGGGCCTTGCTGATCTCTGTACCATTGCTATTTTACTGTATGTGTTGATGCCAAAGTGAGCACAATCATTTTATTTTATTTTTTATTTTATTATTTCATTTTATTTTTTGGAGAGGTTTTTTTTTTTTTTTTTTTTTTTTTTTTTTTTTTTT